ACCTTGGAGTTACTGTTTGAGAAACCCTATGAGGGGAGGTGTGCACCAAAGAAACACACAATCAACGATTTAAAAAAAAAAAAAAATCTCCAAAACCAGAACTGTTTATTGCCTTGAAATGCGAGGACCCTTTCATGAGCACAACCCCTGCCCTCCCCCAACATGCACCAGCCCAACTCTGCCTACCTCCCTCTTACTCTGGTGTCATCAGGAGCGGCATGACACGGAAAGAGACCGGTTCACTGTGAGACCTGCTACTCACTCTCTTACAGTGTAACGGCCCCCCTTCCAGCCGCACGTTGCTGTGAGGAGCTGGTCCCGACAAGCACGAAGCACAGGGACCACCTCGCTGCTCCTTGGGTTCAGGGAGAGCAGAAGGGGGTGAAGCATGACCAGCTCCTTCTGCATCACTACAAACCTGTCCAACATGTAGAGTCTTACAAACATTTGGGGAGTTTGCATGACGGACAAACTGCAATGGCTGGCTCGAACATGCAGTGTGACTGCTCACACCAGTTGCCTCCCAGCGCTCTGTGCCCCGGCACGTGGAGCACGGGTACTGAGGACACAGCACTGCATGCAGGACAGCAGTGGTGGAGAACACAACCTCAGCTCTTCCATTGCTCGGTATCTCCAAGCAAAGGGTTTCTCAATTTGTAATTTTCATCATATTTTCAAAACAGAACAGCGACCAGCTTTCTCCTCCATTGTTCAAATTCAAAATTAAAATGCAACCAATAGGTTTCACCAGCAAAGGCATTGCGAGCAGCTGAAGAAATGAGTAACAGATGTAAATACCTGCTTGCTGTGCAGTCTGTGGGATCTGTTGACTCCGCTGTGCATTGTACTGAACTGAGGCAATGGGTCTGTACTGCTGAGTTGTTGAGGTAGGGTACTGACCAGATGGGTAATAATACACTGGCATCTGCAGAGAAAGAGAGAACAGCAGCTAACTGCGTGCGTACTCAAGAACTCAAAAGATTCACAAAATAAAACAAAACTGGAAGGGAAGCTAGAGTTCAAGTCAAGCATATTAGTGGTAGCAGTAATCAAGGAGAGGTTTGTATTGTGTCTCTTCAAGAGCTGCTGCTTGCTTTCAGCTTTTCTAGGAAGAGGGCTATCAGTGCCCAAATTTCTGCTGAGATACTTTAAGAAACAGAAGAAAAAGAATTTTAATTGAAAGAGACAAAAACATACAGGATGCATAAAAATGGATGCAAACACCTTCTACATCAACATAATACATACGGACAGCATGTTGAACCGTTAAGTGAACTCTGGAGAAAATGGTCAGTTTGAAGCAAAGAATGGCCTGGAGTAAAAATATATAGAACTGAGATAGAGGGAGAGATGGAGTGTGTGTGCCCTTAACGCTTGTAAGAAACAATTATTAAATTGACATTTTTGTTTAACAGCTACATCCTTACATGAATGTTTCCCTGTAAAGCCTCTCTCATACTTGGTGTGAACACAATTACAGCTCAAAAACCAATCATAGTTGTTTTCCTGCAGGAGCTGAGGGTAGGCATCGAGTCAGCAAGTTCTGTCAGGTGGGTTTCTTTTTTCTATTATTATTGTCATTATAGAGCACCGTGTACGACATCACCTTATCATGTAGGTGAACATGGAAGTTTAAGGGTGATTGGAGCCAAAGGTTTTTCCTATACATCCTATACCACCATTAATGAGACATTTGAGCTAAACAGTTTTCAACTGACCCTTTGCAAGTTCAAAGCACTCAAAATTTTTCATTTTCAGCTGTGGGTACGTGACAGAGTTCAGCAGCGTATGGTATCAACAAACTGCAGAGGGCACAGCCTTGGGAGAACATTGCTCCTCTCGTGACTTCTGCCACATCTGTCAGCATTTCTTTATAAATCATCCAATTTTTTTTTGTCTTTCCTCTGTGTGTAGCATTTATCCTACTCATATAACATCCACAGAATCATACCAAAAGCTTTTGGGTTTTTTTCATACCAAAATAACAACTATTGGCATGGAGGAAACGTTCCTGGAACAGCTCATTCAACTTGATTACCCATAAAGTATTAGCAGAGTAAAGGTAACTGAATCCTTTTGTATACTGGTAGGAGATAATAAAAGAGATCAGAAATTTTCCTAGAGGCGATGTCAGATGAGAAAGAACAGGCATAGATATAAAAAACTAGGCAAGAAGAGGGTATGGATGGCTAATTTGGCAAGAAGAGGACTACTGAATTGCTAACTGTGGTGGGAAAAGTATCAGGATCAACAAAACTGGACTTGGTGATGTTGATGAAGTGAAACCCTCAGACCGACTGACAGTCAACATCACCTGTCAATCAAGAGATTGAATACCCACTCATTCTTCAAGGTCTGTTCATTTTCTCTTGAATCATTGAAAATCACATAGCTTCCCCCCCCGATGATATCAGCCAGATTCAACCAAATACCAGAAAGACAAGAACATTTTGATTGGAAAATGTTGTAAGCTACCCTCCCTCCAGGCAATACCAAGTGACACCTAATGGCTACAGCCTGCCTCTGAGTCTTTTCTTTTGTTAGAGAATAAAATAAAAGCAATACAAAAAAAAGTAATAAAAGCAAAATGCCTTTGTAAAATGGACAAAACCATGATGAATTTGTTTCTTTGCAAAGAAAAGCCACAAGGTATAGGAAAGTTGATCCAGACATTTCAGGTGCAAAAAATAACTCTTTAAACATCATCACAGTGTAAATAAGGGATCAGGCAAGTTTAGTGTAATAAACTCATCTTGTGGAAATCTCTACAATAGGGGACTTCAAGGAAGTGAGAAGACTCAGCCTAAGTAAAGTCAATGCAAATAGTTGATCCTGCCTTGGAGCAGGAGAACAGGGTAGACATCCTCTCAAATATTCTTTATTTTCTATTACCCTATTCTACAAATTAAAGAATATTAAACCCCTATGGAAATACTCTCACTTCTGGCTGCAGCTTAATCTTACTTAGAGGATTTAAACTTATTTGATTTACCCTCAACTTCCTCATTTTCCTTGTGCAGACAAGCCCCTAGATATTTGAAAATACATAAGCATATGAGAACAATGTGGATTATCTCTTGTGGAAAGATTCTGTAGGTATTAACTTTAAAACATAGCCTAAAGAGTACAGGTTTTGAAGTGACGTTTATAGATGAACATGCTTAGCACAAAAAACATATGTACACTGAAGCATTCAGAGTAATTTTGAAACAGGTTTTTATTTTTACCACACAGATAACACTTGAGAGTTAGTCAAAGGGTTTTCTCCCTTTCCCTCATTTTCTCAATTCATTGGAATACATTTTTTATATACCCCATTTAGGAACTTATCAGACTGCAATCTATCAGCCTGAAAAATGTTAGTAGTAGGAGC